CGCCCCGCTGCCCCTCTCCTGCCTCTCAGTTCAGCTGGTTCTGACTGCAGCTCCTAAAAGCTGGGTTCGCCCTCCCCGAGTGCCCTCCCCTGCCCTGGCAGTGACCCCAGCGATCCCCCCCCTGCCACTTGGCCTCTCTGGAGGTAGGGAGGCCAGCCCCGTTTCTGCCTCCGCGCAGAGTCTATGCATGGCAGCTTCAGCCCGCCCGAGTGTATTGGGAGTCCGAGTGAGGGGTTTAGTGCAGAAGCGCCCAACCTTTGCGGGGCCGCGGTCCCCTGCTGTGTGATCTCCGAGTAATACCTGCTATAGACCATCCAGCCTGATGCCTCCTCTCCCCCAGCCCCGCTCCAGCTGCTCCCTGCCAGCTCTGCCGGTGCCCTGATCCGGCTTCCAGTGCTCAGCAGCGAGCTGCAGAGGGGACGCTGGGACGCTTGTGCGGCTGAGGGACGGAGGTAGATCGCTGGTTCCAGGCCTCCCAAAAACTTGCACGCCAGCTGGAATTTTGCAGCGAGGTTTCTTGAGTGTTGTGCCGTGGCAGGAGGGCTCTTCAGCCTTGCTTCCCTCTTGGCAAACAACAGCTCTGGTTTCACTCGGTGCTCAGCAGCGAGCTGCAGAGGGGACGCTGGGACGCTTGTGCGGCTGAGGGACGGAGGTAGATCGCTGGTTCCAGGCCTCCCAAAAACTTGCACGCCAGCTGGAATTTTGCAGCGAGGTTTCTTGAGTGTTGTGCCGTGGCAGGAGGGCTCTTCAGCCTTGCTTCCCTCTTGGCAAACAACAGCTCTGGTTTCACTCGGATGTGTTATGAACTGGCTTGAGATGCGTTCAGAGTAGCCAAGCCGTGGCTACATCCATCTTCTGAAGAAGTGAGGACAAAGCCTATATCTCCCTATGCAAAATTAAGTACACTTAATGAATTAAACTGGGCCCTGGCTTATTTGACTGATGGCAGCTAGTGCTTGTCCCCGAGATGGGTCTGCAGTCACAGGTCCCTCGCAAAGCAGGGCTTGGCTTTCCGAGGGAAACCGCACGGGCAGCCTGGCAAATAGCTTGCTGTTTGTCACCTTCTGGTCTGGTGGCATCCAGGATTCCTCTTGATGTAGAGGAAAAGATGTTTCTTTAAGTGTTGCTGTTTGTACTGTCTTGCAATAGGTCTGGCAAGCACGTGATATTATACTGATAAAATTTTGGATTGAAGAGTTGTTTTATTTAATGTGCTGGTCTGTCTTTCCTTCTGGGTACAGTTGTGCTGGTACAAAGATGAGTTCTACTGGTATAGCGTATTCTCTACCGGGAGTAACTTACGCTGATGCCCAGCATGTTAGCAAACGGTTGTCGCTGTCCCCGTGCTCGGGAGGCTGCGCTGCTGTCGGTGGGTTAGCTTTTCTGAGAAAAGCCATGATGGGACCTGGAGACAGCGGGGAGCTGGGGATGAGCCTGCTGTAGCCAGCTATTCCCCGGTTCAGCGGTGACGTGGATCCTGCGTCATGAGTTCAGATAGACAAAGCCATGTTTTGAAATAGCTGTGGCTTGGCTGTTTCGGTGCCCGAGAGCGAGCAGACTTGCCCGGCGAGAGAGCGCTAGCTCCGGAGTCGGAGACCTGTGTTCTGGGCAGGCCTCTGTCAGGGATCCTCAAGGGTCGCCATGGAGCAGTCCTGTCACTGCTCCAGACTTAGCTTCCCCCTCCCTAACGTGAAGTGAAAGTTTACCCCCTGTTCTCACCCGTTTTGAGATCCGCGGGTGTGAAGCGCGCAGCAGGAGCTGAGGAGGGCTGTCTGAGCAGCTGGCTTGAGCGCTAGGTGTGAAACGGTTAATGAAGCCGTTTCCTCGCCCCAGACGAGACCAGGCGCTGGCTGCTGGGGTTTCAGTGCCAGCACCCAGAGCTTCGGCAGCGGGGAACGCAAAGCAGAGCCTCCCGGTTCCGACCCGCGTTTTTCCCCGTCCCGTCCCTGTCTGTATCTTCCCATCCCTGCCCTGGAGGAGGAGGCAGGTGGAGAACAGGCTTGGGGAGCGCTTAGGAATTCAATAAAGGGAAACCCGAACAACAGCTCTGGGGAGCGCTTTTGCTGGGTCTGGCTCCGAAGGGGCAGCCGGCGGGCAGCGTGGCGGTCGGCCCTCCGGCCTGGCAGGGGCTGGGAATGCTGTCCTTGGTGCAGAGGGGTGATGTTTTGAAAGTGTGTTACCTGTTTGCACTGTTTTAAAATAGGAGGGGGGGGGGGAACCACACCCAACCTAGTGAACAAGATGAACATCCAATGTAAACTTCTTTGTGTTTTTATTTTGTCATGCTCTTGGAAAATGTCAAACATTTTGTAGTATACACCAGTGAGACTTGATTCTTTGTTGCATAAAACACTATTTTTGGTGATGTTAATGTCTGAAAAGCCCCTTCCCTCCTCCCCCACCTTACTGACTGCCCTCTCTGCCCTCCAACCCCGGTAAACTACTCTTCTGCAATGAAAACTCCAGTCCACGAGGCAAGCAGGAGTCTGAT